AACTCAGTTTTTGGCTAATAAATTGAACAGCCATACATGCTAAATCAGAAGTAATTTGATATCATATTCAGACAAAAAATATTTTATAAAGCGTAGCTATAAAATTCTCTAATTACATAAAACTAAGGTCTGTTACACTTGTTTTTCCCTCTGAATAAGTCTTTCTACAACTCTACAGAGTATTGCTAATGTCCTTTAAAATTAACTAGACTAAAACTTGTTATACTGAACAGCCAAAACGCTCATTCTATAAAACACACAAAAAAAGTCCTTTAATTTTCTCAGAAGCCACGAGCTTCTGTGACATTCATAAGAAGCTTAAAACCTATGCGATAATACAACAGCATACTGAATGATAAGAACCATGAGGTACAGTACATAAAACATTTATTATGCAAGCTGTAATGACTAATTCTAAGCCTTCTTACTAGTGCAAATACTGGCAAAGCTTTACAGTTAATTCCTTGAATTATTTAGCCTACAGTTTCATGTAAGTAATATTGTATTAAATAATGACAAAAGTTAAGAAAACTCGAACACACAAAAACAATAAACCCAATCTTTTGCCATGAGAAAGCACTCCAGGATCAGAACCAAACCGGATATGTACAAAAGTAGCATAATTAAGATTACTGATTGGCATTTACATATGACAAAAAAAATAATCCACCCTACAAATTAGAGGGGAGTATTCCTGTTTAACCCATGGACCACAATACCAAAACACATCTCCAGTGCAAAAGAATTACTTTCAGAATTAATTCACCAAATAGACAATGACAGTAATCACCAGAAGCTATTTTGCTTCAGTGTTACTGAGATACCTAAAGCTAAGCAAAATCATATTGAAGGGTTTTCAACATAAGGAGCTTAATAGAGAGCTGCTCTGTAAGGAGGGCACGTTCCCCAACCTGGCTACTGAAGAGCATGAGGACAGACCTTGAAAGGATCCCACAACTCAGCATTTAGGAGACTTCAATACTCAATTCTGACTTAGTTCTGTGCTAAGTTATTTAGTGCCTTGACTATCCTCATAGCTAAGTACTCGCTGTATATGTGCAGTGGAAGTACATTCTTCACATGAAACTGCCTCGGAGCGACACCATCTTCTCCTACACAGACTTTCTCATAAATGATTTTCAACTATGCTAACTGCATGGATAAAGAAGGAATCGGAAAAGAGGACTGCCCCTACAACATCACTGATAAAACTTGCAGGGGAAAGTCAGCAATAGATAATTTTAATTATTTGATTTGCTTGTATCCTAAACAGAAGGATTCCAGCTTCCATACCATGTCCTAACCACTGTCTTCTTCACTATAGAGTTGCATAGCACCATTACCCCCAGCAGACTCTTCTCAGTGGTATACAGCGACAGGAGGTGAGGCAATGGTCACAAACTGAAATACAGCAAATGCCATCTAAAAATATGAAAAAATTTCTGGTGGTATGTGTTGGTTTTTTACTGTAAGGGTAATGGAACTGCACAGGTGAGGAAACGGTTGCTCTGGGGGTCTCAATCCTACTTAAAACTTGACTGGACAAGGTCCTTTGCAGCCTGCTCTAGCTGACTCCACTTTGAGTAATGCGATTGGACTAGACAGTCTCCAGAAGTCCCTTCCAACTTTTAACCATTCTGTGATTCTGTTAAATTATACGATGTAAACTTTTTCTTGTGTACTTCGAGTTTCCTCTCCCTGTAGACATCCCACTTTCCCACCAAACAGCATGCAAGCTGTAACTTCACAATGCAATAAGAGACATGGGTGAGCACAGGCTTTTGCATAAGTTGGAATTTTCCTCCCTGAGCTCTGAAGACCTATGCATTACTAGGCTATTTAATACTTGACTACTAGGAAAGCAATAGCCATAAAACCAGAGCCATTTCTTCAGTCCTACATTTAACTGCTCAGATACATTAAAAAAGTTTCAAGTGCTGAAAGCAAGGTATCTTTTACTAAGGTTACACTGCCTTTTGGATTCAGAAATTTGTCAAAAAATATTTGCCAGCTTCCCTAGTTCAATACAACTCAAAAAGAAAATCTTAGAGCACAGTCAAGTACTGATGAGACCACCTGTCCTTCAGGAAAAAAACAGTTACAACCTTATATCTATGTGTGTGCCTCCTCTGAAACCTGTGCAAGAAGAGACATTTACATCATTTTAGCCAACCTATCATTTGGACATTCAACAGACAGAGGGATATGAGTATAGAGTTCTGGATAACAGAATTTGAATTAAGCCATCTGCATGCTACTATACACAATAATAGATTATTGTTTAGAATTAATATACTGTAAACAATCACTACCATGAAACCAAATTAAATGAAAACAAATCACAGTCAGCACATCAGATTCCCAATGAACTAAAATTCAAAGGAGAAGGACATATAAAGACTGGATAGAGAAAATGAGGCTGAAATGTTTATTTAGTAACTATGAAGTGAATGTGCCACTGTTTTCTGAACATCCGATGGCAAAGACACGGTGCAGAGAGCTAATCCCTGTTTCTCACCAAAACAGACAGGAATGTACACTGGATAATTTGTTCCTACTGATGATATCATTCTGTTAAGTTTACTGTTTTTAATAAGAAACAAGTTTCAGTCTTCTCTCACTTTCTCCCATGTACAAGATCAGATCAGCCTCCCAGTGACCTACTTTATGAGTCACAGTCCTCACTATTTATGATTCAGAAAAACGTCTTCTCTGACAGTATTTCCCAGACTACTGTGGGTTCATTCCAAGAACCAATTTCATCTTCATTGGTTTCCTACAGGAAACCAGACCAACTTCCTATGATTTTATTTTCCTTCATTTCAGCATGGCTCACATAAACTAACTGGAAGTGAGAGTGATAGAAAACTTTATTCTGCATAAACACAAGCCAACATAAACACCACTAAAAAAATACTGAAGATGTCACTGACTCAAAGCCACCAGAACATGAAGCAAGCTAAGATTAGAAGTTCCTTTCCCTCCTTCCCCAAACATGATGCACACAGGCAAACCCAGTAAGTTTATATAACCAAAGTTTAATATTAAGAGCTGTTCAGGTCTCTGGTGAAGACATTCACCTGAACAGATGGCCAGGTTCCACTCCCTCTTTCAGGACTGGCAATTGTTTTAAAATGGTAAGCACAGTTGTACCGTTTTTAAGTCCTACCAATACCATAGTCAAGTCCCCCAATCACCTGAGTCAACAGATTTGGGGTGCCTACCTTCTCTCTTCAACTGCAATAACAGAAGTACTACTGGAGATGCTAGGAAGTGAGCACACTTCAAAGAAGTCCATCTAGACTTCACACAGGACTGTTAACTTTGCCTAAGTATAGGCCTGTTGCATTCAGGCTAGCTTCTAAGAGAGCCATTTTCATTGTCCTTCAAGACACATTAGATTTCCAAAAGCTAAGACTGGGTCAGATCTTCATGGGTTCAAAATGCTCATGCAGTGAGATATTTGAGGAATGAAGTTTCCTGTATGCCATGACAGAGTCATGGAAATATCTATAGCAGCATCAGCATCACCACTACCTCTCCCTTCATGCCACCTCAGTGCTGTGATTGAGCTGCAGCAGCCACATGGAGATAGCTTGATACTAGAATATTAGTACCACGCTAACATCATATAAGGAGGACAGGCAATTTCCATGGAGATTGCTATACAGCTAACCAGTTCAAGAAAAGGAACGCTGGGACACCTAGCTGTGAACTGCAAATACTCCAGCATAGTTTGCTGGTTCACGTTTCACTCTGCAAAACAGCAGTTCAATCGCCTTCTGGACCAAGGCTGCCCTTGGATTCATATAGCCTTGTCATTACACTGCTCTACCTGAGCTAATAAACCCAACCAGACCCATGTTTATCACAGAGTAAGCTGGATAATTCAATCATGCAAGCAAATTATAAGCAAAAGTATTCTCATTTTGTCTTTATATTCTGCTGTTTGTGTTGTCAACAACTGTATTCTTTCAACATGATTTCCTCTTGCTGGGTTTCAAGGCTTACAGAATGATAGGAACAACAAGCTGTTTTTCATAGGAAGGCTGACTTACAAAACTAAAGGCAAACTGATTTTCATGAAGTTTAAACGCTTCTTCACTTCTCAGCTCAAGAGAAGCCAGGGAATATTAACACTTTAGAATACTTCCACATCTCACATAGTAATGACAGGACATATGACTAACACACAATTTATTTTAATGACAATTTGGTACCTGGCCATCAGCTTCAGCTTGTAATAATGAAGAATGAATAAGTATTTTGCAAGTAAATAGAGGTCACCTGTTAGTAAACTGAGATTTTCCATAATACAGCAAAGTAGCTTAACAAACATAAAAAACAAATTAAAGTTATCATCTCTACTATTCATTTCCTTTCCTTCTGATGCAGCAGTACTTGCCAAGGTCAAGTGACTAATCTTTAACAAGCCCTTCTTGTTCTAGTTTCTCTGACTTGATTTTTACAACCAAAACCCCAACAGTTTCATAATACTGCAAGTAGCAGCAGAGCTGTTTCTCTATTTGTAGATCAATCTTTCAAAGAATACCACCTGCATGAAAACTGGTATAGATAAAGCCTTTCTAGAAGTGACACACTCTGATATATGTATTGATTTTAAATAAACTGAATCATGTTGTTTTAAGCACTGTTTGGCCTAAGAACACTGCATAACTTCTCCACTAGGTCTGATGAGCAGCTAACTCCACAGCAAAAGTTGTTTCATATGGCAGCAAAATCAGATTTTTAGACCAGTTGATTTTGTTGACAATGACAATTCAACCTCTACTATTGACATCATAATATATATTCAGTAGCAAACTCATGCAGTAACTTAGCACTGCAGCAAGCACAACTATCTTGATTTAAAGCAGTGTTTACCTGCTGAAGTTAATAGTTGTTAAAATGGCTATAAATGCTGCACTCTAAAATAATCAAGGCAATATACCACTACCGCCACCACACATTCACAATTCTTGTTGCCAGAGGCTACTCACCTTGACATGGCTCTGAGCTCCCAGGTTGTATATTTCAGAGGGTTTGACTTCATTAATGATCTTCACCAGGCAGGTGCTGTCAGTGAGATCCCCGTAGTGCAGCTTCATGTCTTCAGAGTTTAAGAACAGAGTTAATACGCTTAATCTCAGAACAATACAACATTCTTGGTCCAAATCCTATTTTACGATAAAATCTGAGTAAATATCTATTGGAAAAAGTTAAGAGATAATCAGCTAAACATGGTTTTGCTTGGTGGTTTTTCCTGCTTTAAGCACAAAGTACATTTCTCCATAGGAGTAATGAACACCATTTTAGATTCTCTTTTCAATAGTCTGATTTATCTAGTAACATTTATATCACTTGTTTAAAACGAATAACTAGTTAACACTTCATTTACTCAGGTTGTATAAATTAGTTCAATGTCATATATAGAATTCCACAAAAAAAGGGCATTTTTAGTTTGGGCTTCCAATCTGTCAGTCACAAAGGTTTTAACACCTTCTTAAGCATACATCAGTAGCTTTCTTCTTCTTCCCAAAATGTTGCACATGTTAAATTTCTCACTGCGAGTCATTTCACAACACAAGTGCCTAAGGTATCTACAAGATGAACATTTAGATAACATTACAGTACAACCTGCTGCTTTTGTTACTATTGTTTTTCATTCAAAAAATACAGATACACACTGGAAAGCAATTTCAGAAGACAATTAAATTGTCAATGAAACATGCTTCATGATACTACACACCAAAATTTTGAATGCAGCTAGATGCAGCTGTTATTTACCCTGTCCTAACTTAAGTTTCTTTCTGATTTGTGCATAAGAAAGTGGGTAAGAGCTCCCATCAAAATTAAGAGAGTAAGTTGCACTGGTTTATCAAATTGTGCTTGATTTCAGACCCTGACCTGTCAAGAAGATATTGCAAAAGTGAAATTCACAGAAACAGATCTCTTTTGGTTCTTATTTAAAAAGAAAAAAAAAATCACCCCCACTGCTATTGACATACCTTTCCAATAAAAACTTATAACTAAGTTATAACTTTATATTTACTTGCCATATTCATATAGGTTTTCATTTCATGTTTATGACCTTAATAAATTTATGTTTGCACTGCCCTATCTCCAGGAAAATGAAGAAATTCCTATTTCAGTATAGTTTAGCAGTTTTTCCATTTGATGATGGTCACCACTTTTCTGGGACTGTATCATCTACAGATTTAATCAACTTGATTACTTATTTTCTTCCTTTTTTTTAGTCCTGAAATACCAGGATTATTACAAGAGACTATCTCAGGAATCCACAGTACATTTTTAATTGTTGCAGAGATATGTAAAGTTGTTATTATTTATGCTGGTTTAGGTTTATCTTTAATTTTTTTTTAAACAGTATAAGGCAGCAAAGAAGTTACAGATAACGTATTTCTCAGATGTTCAGCCTTGTACATTCCCTTATAACAGGTTGTTGAGGCTCTTCAGGTCGATGAAGTGATACAGCCATGGTATATTCTTGAAATTTGCTTTTACATCCCACATTGCTTGAAAAAGACATTGTGATGACACTTCAGACCCAGTTGAAGCTGTGGCTAACAGGTAATGGAATGGTAACAAAAGTTAGCTGGTTTTTTTTTTAAAAAGTGATAACTGTGATTCAATATGAAGGCTGGCAAGCAGTTTGTGACCATTCTTGTGCATACCCCTCAATTATCCGCAATGTGGGCTACCTTCATTCCTGACACCAGTTCTATAGAGGCTGTGCTAGAACACACATTTCCACTGGTATGGAATACAACTGTTCTGTTTCCTAAATTAAATTCAATACATGAAAGTAGTTCCGTCTGTGGGGAGAGGAGGCTCGGGGAGCAGCAGCAGCTCTCTGAGAGCCTTGAGGTCTGCAAGAGCAACTAGTTCCCCTCCAGCATAGGCAGCTGCTAGGTAGGAAAGAGGTGCCACAGCCTGTTTTCCTCTTCCTACACATGCAGTTCTGCCATCATCCCCAAGGCAGAGTGCAGTGTCAGAGCTTCTCAGGGGAAGGTGGGCTGCTAGCTGGGCTGAGCAAAGCAACAGAGATACCCTCCCACTGTTACCTTAAATTTAATGCTCTCAGGGGGAGTGATCATTTTGGTCTACCATCAAGTCTTCAAAGCTTCTTGTCCACATTGCTTTTTTGAGGAGGAACAGAGCATAAAGCTATGTCCATTTTCTGACCCATGAAAAAGAGGTCTTTCAAGAGTAATAGGCTAAGTGGAAAGACTTACTAAAATTGGGGCTTGTTTGGTGCACAAATTTTTAAACACAGATCAAATGTCAAAACCTCTGGGCCTTAGTACTATTAACCAATCTGAGAACCTCCTTAGCAAGCAACAGCTGGAGGACTTGCTTCAGGAAGCACTTTTTTTTTCCTTCTTGTGCTTCCTACTTTTTTTTTCACATAGAAGTTCACTGTCAACGAAGAGTACTATCTTGCAACATGTGATCAATTCTTCAAGGGAAGAACACACATGGCAAAGATAAAATTCAGGTTTGCTCACATAATGACTATTGCCTCTTTGCTTCCTCCAGTAGTGCCTGGAAACCCATTGTTTCCAAAGAGTTTCCATGGAGCAGCCTTTCCTGAGATTCCAAGTCCAATTCCTTCTCCTCCTCCCATTCATATAGCTGCATTCTTCAGTTAAAGGAAAATGAGATAAGAAATGGGGAAAAAACTTCAGCGTCTGCTTTCTTTTTCTTTCTTCCATCCCTTTCCTTAAATGTTTGTGTATGCATTTATCACAGTCTACATTGTCTTCTCAAATCACTTTTCATATTCACAAGATGGTCCTCACAATGCACAGGTTCCTGTTTCATTTCATTTGCTTCATTTTACCTCATGAGCCAAGAATACAAATCATGGGAAACAGTTCTTACATTGTTCTTGACAGAAAAACAGGTTTCAGCATTTTTCATGAAGATATTTTATTCAATTTTACCCCTGTCTTAATCAGATATTTTAAGTAAGTAGCAACTATTCACAGCAAATACCATGTCAGAGTCATGTAAGAAATTAAGTTTTTTTTTTTTTGAAAATCACAAGCAAAGATCAAGTGAAATCTATAAGTTGCATTATGTATTACAACTTGATAAAAATAAGCTCTGTTCAACCATGGTGTGAAGCAGACTTCAAAGACATGATTTATTTACACCATGGAGATATTTAGTGTTAACAATACCTTAAATTGGATTATTTAGGACAGCTCCAGTCTGCACAACTGTCCTAGTTAGAACAGCTGGGACCAGTTCATCACTGTATGGGTGTAACCCAAAACTGTGTATTCTATAGCTTTCCATGCCATTTCCCAGAAACTGTTATCAATAGACCATTTACACCATCTGCCCAGAGCAGCCTGACTCCTCAGCCTATAAATGGGGTGTTAAGAGGCCTGTGAGACAGGAGGGTGCTCCTGTCCTCACACCTATTGTGAACTCCCCACCCTGAGGGAGGTACTGGGCATTCCTGCCTGAAATGGAGTCTTGGGACTTTTTTAACCACTCGTGGGATCCAGAGAAAGATTGCAGACCATCACTCTCAACCAGACTGCAGACTACTACTCTCAACCAGACTGCAACTACCACTCTTGACCGGATTGCAATCACCACTCTTGACCAGACTGCAACAGCACTCTCACCAACAGGTTTTTTCCCTCTCCTTTTACTTTGGACTCAGGGGGCCCAACGAACACGACTCTGTTCATGCCCCAGGGTGCTGGTTTATACATTTGGATTTTGTGGGTTAAAACCAATTGTTTGTCTGTATAATCGTCTTTATTGTATTATTTTATTAAATTGTTATACTGACTTATAATCTCTCCTTTGAGTTGAGTTCATTTCCCCTGCTGGTTTACCTTTAAACCAGCACAACAACTCTACAAAATACACATAGCATAGAGAACTACATGCTTGTTAAAGTGCTCAGTCCTTCTGCTGAACTGGACCCATCCAACATTTGAGCTGCTTCTCATTAAGTGACCACTTAACCTTCTTCAAGGTAAAATACTCAAACAATTTTTACAATATGTACATTAAAGGTAATAATTTCAACTTCCCAAATTATCAGTGGTAATAGAGAATACAGTAAATTTTCAGCAAATTTCCAAGAGCAATGCCTTTCCTTCAGGAAAAGCAGGTAATCACTTCCTTGCGCGCAGAAATTCATAAAGGTCCAAAGATTCATTCTTCCTGTCATCAGAAAGAACTGATCACGTCTTACTCGTGCTGTCATACAGGCTGCTTCCAAACTTTCACCTCCATCAGACACTCAGAAGCTCAGGAGGAAACAGAATTGGAGTACTTAAGGTAAGTGCCTCAAAAAAACCCCCATTTTACTATTCTAACATTTCAGTTTTTTTAACCTCACACAGCTTTTTGCAGGCCCAGCCATTTTTTAACTGCCACTGCCCAGCTATGTGTGAACTGTGGCAGCATTTCTACACAACAAAGTGCTTTCCTGGGCCCCTCATATTTTCCACTCTTTGTAATTCACACACACAAGAGCATCTATACTTCATGCCACATCTTCAGAGAAAAATGGTCCCTTCTCTTTCTCAGATAGAGCAGCTAGCTAACACAAGCAGAGGAAAATGGGATTCCCTCCCTTCTCCCAGGGACCTTTCTCCACCAAGCTCATAGAACAGACTAAATAACATATACCACCTTAAATAAATAAAAAAAAAGTCTTACTTCCTTCAATGTGAGCCTGTGGGTTCTTATAGAGATGTTCAATCCGGCCTGTATTAAAAGAACTAGACCGACGAACGATGCCATGCACCTGGGGATTGAACAAGTTAAGATGCAAAAGATAAGTAGGAAACATTAAGAGGAAAGTGTTTATCACCATCATTCAAAATATTCATATACAAAGACCTAACCCTTATATCAGGTAATCAGAGGTTGTATCTATTCCTACAGGTGGGCAGTTATCCAAATAATAACATACTTGGAGATGCCATCATATTTACTTGAGTACTCGAGTGGTTTCCCCTTCTCCCTTGCTGATACCACTAGCAGCCGGAGCATCACACACAGTACAGAAAACATATTGAATTGCCCTAGAGCACCATCTCCTAGTGTGTGATACTTGATGTTATTACCAGCATTGGAGAAGAAATATGTGAATGCCAAGAAAAGCATTTCTCCCTGGTTGCAGTGAAGACTTTCTGGAGGCAGAGATGACTGGCATGGAAAAAGCAGCAGCAGGAGATGGGACTATGGAAAGGAGAGAGTGAGCAGAGAAAAGAGAAGGGAAGAAAAAGACAAGGGGAAAGAAGCAGCAACAGCTGCAAGGCCCAAATGTATTTTAGAAAGCAGCTGTCACTCACTTCCTGGGGTGTTGGAAGAACAGCGAGAACAGTCAGCGCTGTTTTGTGGACCTCATGAGTCAGTGTTCTCCAGTGGGTTACGCGACACACAGACAAGCCTGAGGCTGAAATCCAGCTTGGGAATTTCCTTTAAGCAGCCACGATAAATAAGGTGGTGGGGAAAAAAAAGCCCCACTGGTTCTGACTAACACTAAAGAAAAGATCATTTTTGTCTAATACATCAGAGAAATTCATACACTGACCCTGTTTCCTCCTCTCCTGTAAGACAGGACCATGATGCCTGCTGCTAAAATTCATATTAGCTTAGGTTATCAGCTGCAGAAGTTGCTCTTGTACAAGTGAAACCAAGCTTAAGCATCTGACTGTCCTCCAACTCTCCCTGCCTTTTATTTCTGAAAGTGATCTCTTACACTTTGATGTATCCTACACTTGGTTTGGTCAGGCCATCGCTTTACTTTCTCACTTCCTGCTAACTTGTATCTGCAAGAACAGAGCTGCAGGAACAGGCAGTGTTTAGGGCTTTGGTTTGGTTTGGGGATTTTCATTTTACACGAAACACAAGCTATGCTTATTGCCACAGAAAACGTTTTTCATTCTATCATAAGTCAAAAATTTAAATGAGTAGAAAAGTGCACACAGCTGCAGATTGAGACCAGTTTGCTGCTTTAAGAATGACATTTTGGTGTCAAAATCTCTAAAACCAGCTCAGTAGTCATCTTTACAACTGCAAGTCAAATTTATGATGCCAATTTCCTTGCATAAAATCTCTTGTGTGCCCCGTCACACAGCACACTCAACAACATACCATGTTCTACAATTCAAATATTTGCACTTTGAGGATCAATGACACACTGAGAAATATGCCCTGTAAAAGAAATTTTCATCAAATAATGAATTTATGAAGATAAATTTTCAAAGATATGTAGTCAAAAGCCATATCAAAATAATTACTTATAGAATGTGTGGATAATTTATAGGGACATAAGGTTTACAGAGAAATACTATCTAAAAAAATAAAAGACACTTCCATAATAACTTCAGCTTTACAAAAGATGCTGGAAATATTTTGAGTACTCAAATGAACTAAGTTTGCTGAGTAAAATATCAGACTTCACAGTTTTAAAGCAACAAATTATTCTAAAGGTGCTCTAACTGAGGTGCTCTACAAGAGGGGAGGTTTAGACTGAATATTAGGAAAAATTTCTTCATGGAAAGGTTTGCCAAACACTGGAACAGGCTGCCCAGAGAAGCGGGTGAGTCACCAACCCTGGAGGTACTTAACAGACATGTAGATCTTGCATTTAGGGACATGGTTTGGTGATGGACTTGGCTGTGTTGCATTAACAGTTGGACTGGATGATCTCAGAGGTCTTTTCCAATCTAAATGATGCTGTGATTTTTCTAGCAAAATTAAAGATTTGGCTTAAGGTTCTGATGAGGGACTTTTTGAGCACTCAATTATCTATCTCTGAATGAAATCATGCTAAAATTCAAGGTCATGTGAATGATTAATCAGTAAGTCAAATCTTGCCAGCTCAAAGCTTGATGAAAGATTGGGCTTGCAAGAGCTTTGTGTCAGCTGAATGACTGTGATTCCAACATTTGACCAATGAGATGTGCTAAATGCAATCATCCCAGGACTTCAAAAGTTTCAGCAAACAGACAAACCCAGAGAGCCTGTTGCATCCAGCAATAACAAGAAAGCATGTGAATTCTGCTTTTTTTTTTCTTTTATTTTTTTTTTCTCCCACTCCTTTTTCTGGTATGCATATACAAGAGCAGGAAAACTTGTCAAATGCTTAATCCATGACAGCAGTGTAATTGTAAAAAAACTGATGAAAGGTTCCTTTGTCTGCATAGGACAGGTGAAATGCAAACTCTGTGACAAGCCACAATGTGTGCAAACTGGTTAATCTGGTTAAGAATGTAAGATCAGTGGATTTTTCCCAACAGGCCCAGATCTTTAAATAGATTGAAATTAAAAAACAAAACAAGTTAAATGAAGCATCTTGGTTAGGGAGGCAATCAGTTATCACGTGTGCTCTTGTGTTCAGTTATTCAGAAGAAGAGATGTCTAACGGGGAACACAGGAAAGAATTCCAAGAAAGTGACAGAGAGTTTAGGAACAGAAGAAAAAATCTCTACCCAAATACAGTAACCTTTCTATTGTGAAAAGGGCTATATTTCATTTTATTTGCTTTTGGCAGTTCCCAACTTCATTGTGGACTAGGAGAGAGTATGTGCTTTTGCCTTCAAAGTAGCAGAAGCAACCTTGTTTCACACCATTCTTTATTAGAAAGGGCTCAGAAAGTGCATTGCCATATCTGACTTGGCCGTGCTGATCCTCATGGAGTGAGATGATCATTTTAAGGAACTTGAGGGGACAACCTAAATGTTCCAAAATCTGCCATAGACCTTTTCTGCTCACAGTATCGAAAGCCTTGGTGAGGTTGACAAAGGTTACATAGAGACCTTTGTTCTGTTCCCTACACTTCTCTTGCAGTTGTCTGAGAACAAATGCCATGTCTGTGGTACTCCTGCTGGCTCTGAAACCACACTGACTTTCAGGTAGAATGATCAGGACGGTATCTACATTCGATACCGTACTGATGGAAGCCTTTTCAACCTAAGGTGACTGAAGGCCCACACCAAGACCTTAAACCATCTTGTTTGGGAGCTACTCTATGCTGATGATGCCACCCTTGTCGCCCACACAGAAGCAGCTCTGCAGTGTTTAACATCCTGCTTTGCAGACGCTGCTGAGCTCTTTGGGCTGGAAGTCAGCTTAAAGAAGACAGAAGTTCTCTATCAACCTGTACCTCAGGAAGTCTTCCATCATCCCCATATCACCATTGGCCAATCAGAGCTCAAATCAGTTCAGCAGTTTAATTACCTTGGTAGCCTCATCTCCTCGGATGGTAAGATCGATGGGGAGATAGACAACAGGTAGCAAAGGATTATAGTGCTTTTGGAAAATTCCATAAAAGAGTATGGCGTAATAAACACTTGAAGAAAAACACAAAGATCAGTGTTTACAGATCCATAGTGCTGTCTACTCTCTTATACGGTTCCAAATCATGGGTCATCTACCGCCACCACCTGCGTCTCCTAGAACGCTTCCATCAACGCTGTCTCCGTACAATCCTAAACATCCACTGGTCAGATTATGTGACCAATACATCTGTTCTAGAACAAGTAGCAGTCACAAGTATTGAGGCCATGCTGCTGAGAACACAGTTGTGTTGGGCAGGGCATGTCTCAAGGATGAAGGACCACCGCCTCCCTAAGATCTTGCTTTATGGTGAACTTGCCACCAGCTGCCACAAGAGAGGAGCCCCAAAGAAAAGATACAAGGACTCCCTGAAACAACATCTCAGCCTTGGTCATATTGATCAACATAACTGGTCTACTCTGGCCTCAAATCAGGAGGCCTGGAGACATACCATCTATAACACTGCTGCTTCCTTTGAGAAAGCACACAGGATCACTCTTGAGGAGAAAAGACAATGCAGAAAGAATTGTGCCTTGCAGAATATACCACCTAAGGAGTCTTTCTGCTGTGCCTTTTGCAATCAGATATGTTCTATCTCGTATTGGCCTTATTAGCCACCAACGTGCTTGTAACAAATGTGGATAGAGCCTTCCTAAATCTTCGTTTGCAAAGCCCAGCCATGACAATGAGCAGAAGCAACCACAGTGATGTGTCTCTTCCACAAATGGAATGAAGAAATAGTAAAAAAAAAAAAAAACAAACTCAATTTACAACACTGAAAAGCCAATATCAATAAGCAAATCAATCACCAAAGCAGGAGAAAGGATGGAATAAGCAAGGCAAGATTAACCTGGTGCAAAAGCACGGAAAGTACAGACTGGTTGAAAAGAGACTTCTCACTAAGCTATGAAGCAGTATTACAACAGAAGTAATTAAATTCAATATTAGAAAAAGCATTAGCTTTTACTAAAACCCCAGAAAATATTACATTGTGAGGAAATGAATTTGATCACCCCTCTCCTTGCATTATTGCACCTTTTGGAAGCATCTTTCATGACTGAGAAGGCAAATATTCTTACATTTATGTCAACATCAGTTCTAACACATCAAATCATACAGATGGCAACAATGTGATTATTGCTTTGCTGGGTCACAAGAAATGTGATTTTTGCCAGGGAAAAGTATGCAGCAAGAAGGAATCAGACTCTCTTTAATTCAAGGAAAAGGTAAGTAAAAATCATATGATAAGCAAGAATATAATTAATCCAAGAGAAAAGGTAGAAAGCAACTCTACCAAAATACAGGTTGTTTTGGGTTTGTTGTTTGGGGGTTTTTTTTGCTTTTTAAACAGAGAAAGCAAAATGCAAGGTTTTCATTGCTGAAATATAACTGCCAAAATAAAAGGGCCTTTACTGTGAAAAGAGAGGGGGGAGAAGAGAACAAACAAGAGATTCTTATTCCTTTATGTGGTACATTGCATAATAAATTATTCCCTAATTCCTTACAGTTTTGGCTCACGCAGGGCACTGCTTATCTGAGTTGGCGGGAAACATGCAAAGCGGCTATACCCTGAGGAGAAGGGGGAATCCACTAGTGGACATTAGATGATAAATAGTACAATAACCTGGCACGATTACAGGCCATGTTGCACATTCCTCTCTGGAGTTTTGATTTGTTATCTAGGGCTGGAGTGGAAAACATACACAGAGAAGGACAGAAGCAGAGGAAGCCGGACGGAGCTGCAGCATCCAAATGATTCCATCAGCCTGCAACCAGTCACCGAGTCACTCACCTCGTAGCCTTTTTCCAACAGGAACTCAGCCAAGTACGATCCATCCTGGGAATAGTAAGACATAGGAAAATGTTAGAAACACATTGAACAGGCCTGGGAGATTTGGACTGCTTAAGATCTCAAAAAAGGGAAGAAAATAACCCTGTAGTGAGTTGATGGGGTAACAAGCATATACTTTGATTTCTCCAGATTCATATACTGACCTAAAAATACTATGGACTCTTTTTAGTTACTTTTATATTAAGCAGCAGCATATTTTAAGATAACTTGCTTACAAATGCTAGTTGAGAACTCCTGTCTCTTGAATTTCTTCCCAAGTTCCATTATGAAGTGCCTGGGGACATCTTTCCAAAATATCCTAACCAGAGTTACTGAATATGAACTATTTTGGACATAAGGAAGGAAGAATATTTAAAACCAAAGCAGTGCAAGCTTGGCATACTCTGCAAACCAATATGTCTCTGTAGCACTGTGTCACGCTACCATTTCCCTTGCACACGCGGTCCTTCCACACAGCTTCTGAAGGAGGCAGTAACTCTGCCTGCTCGATCAACTGAGTTTTCAAAAACATCCCTAGCACACCCCATACTTATACTACAGAATACAAGCCATTTTCACATTTTATGTATCATTGAGGGTTGAGAATTTGGGTTGTTTATTTTTAGGAATTTTCTTTTTTTTTTTTTTCATTTACATCCCTGTCAAACTAAACTCCCCAGAAGACAATACTTTAAAACACATGCTAGTGCACATTTTCCTGCAATAAGATGGTTTTTCTGGTATGAGTATTGCCAGGATTACCAAACACAGTAAGTCATATCATCTTTATAAAAATCTACACACCATCACAAACCCAGTAAAGTTTACCCCTCCAAAAGAGTTCTCACTGTCCAATTCAGTGAATATTACTCATGCCCAAAGTCTGCATCTTCTCACTGACTTTTTGAATTGTTTGTTCCTTTAATATGCAAATGTATTTCACCAGATCCAAATGGCTTGCTACAAAAAGACCATAAAATCACTGAGATGCCACATATGCTTACGTGCTTAAACCCTATTATGTGGATCTGCTCTGTCGTGACCATGGCCAGAGTATTTAAGTGCAAAACAAAGAGACATCTCTGTGGTTGTCCTTTAAAAGCATGTTTCTTCAGAGAACTTTTTTTTTTTACCTCAGATTAAATGAACCTTTTTTGTCTCACAGAGAGCCTAAGGAGAAAAAGATACTGAAGTAAGAAATTTAAGAAGTACTAGGAGGCCCTAGAGCAGCAGGACTGTTAGTAGAGACTGTTTACTGCATTGATGGCAAAACCCTGGGTATATCTATGCAAAATGGCACAGTGCAGTGTACGAGGGGCATGTTGCTCTATGTTTAAAACTTCAGCATTAGAAAAAAAGTTAGTTATTTATGTGTAAAGTCTTACACAGTCTAGAAAGTTTGAAAACAAGAAAGAAAGTCTCAGCTTACATACTTCTCCCACTATATGTACACGTGTGTATGCACAAAATTTTACAGGGCTACAGCCCTATAACAACAGCCATCAGTCTATGACACCCATTAATTGGGAACATGACAAACCACATCTGCCATGGCATCACTGGAACCATAGGTACTTCTGTACATCAAATAATAAGAACAAGACCCTACTGAAAGGAGAAATTCAAAGAATATTCAGTGGAAAATGTGGAGGAACATGAGGCCAGAGCAGGGGATGACAGCTATCTTGAATGATTTTGTCATCTTTTTCATTAGTAATTCCTCCAGGATTTAGTAGAGGGAGGAAAACTTCCTAGTTCTCCTTGGTTGCTCAGTCCACTAAAATAGAAAAAAAATAAATCAAATAAAGCAGGAGGTGAAAGTGGGAGACTCGGCCCAGAGAGTGCAAAGGAGATGAAAAAAAGAAAGGCTGTGATTACTTAGGAAGCTGATGGGAAACAGACTTGACTAGGATTGAACCCTGTCAATAAGGTCTTGTTCTTCTCACCCAGGCCATTGCTCAGAGTTTCCAATCACCCTGGAACATTTTGAACCATCAGTGGCACTTGCTTCCTCTGCGCTTCCTTTCCAGGTCTATCAAGTGATAGGGCAGGGCTTTACAATGAGTGGGAAACAGGCAGCAAGTGTGAAAGCTACTGCTTTCTGGCTCTAGCACAGCACAGCTGATTTACTGTCTGGTAATCACACAGTGTAGATTCATGCTGTCCTGCGCTGAGATACCATATCACACGTGGTCCCCAGGTTTCATGTTTCCCTTCCTTTTCTTTTCAGAACAGCAGCCTGTCATTGCAAATGGTAATCAGAACAATGATCAAAGTGTCAAAGAGTTTGCAGCTGGTAAGGACAGTACAGTTTCCATCTTTTTCTAATGAGGGCAGAGAGTACATAATATTAAGTAAGCTCTGTTAAGGGATTTAAACCTTAATCCATAGGAGACTGCATTACACATATAAATTCTATTATCAAAGCTATTAATTTCCATTTATACTACAAACAGAGCTTTCAAAATTCAGGAATGACTGAGCCAGAAAAGGGATATTAAAGGAACTAGGTGTTTAGCAACAAATCTCAGGTTTTGTTATGGTTAGCACATTTTGCTTTATTTGAGCCACATAATGACAAACATTCATTCCGGGTTTGTATCTGAGTAGGAACAGACCAGCATGAAGTGCATGACTTGGTATGACCTGTGAAGTTGGAGCCTGGGAGGCAGGGTCTTTACAAGAAATGCTTGTAATGACCTTGATCCTATTTTGTTAAGTGTTTTACCCCAAGACTACATTATGTTCTCTTCAGGACTGAAAAAAAACAAACAGGACCAGTTCAGGTAGCACATGTAATCAGCAAGGTATTAGTACACCCGGACCCCAATCAGATCACTGAGGTAGCTATGGATAGTTACTCTACTCCCCACACCAAACACAAAACCTAAAAAAACAGGGTCTATACAGACCAGAGTGCTTACTTAATGTGCCCCTCCACTGGGCAGTATGCTATTCTGCTTCAGACGTGTCACATTTGAGAGCTTAGTTTTGCTAATGTAAAGCACCCAGTTAATACTACTCCATTTATAACGAATCAACAAAATCTCAGATGACAAAAGCAGGTTCTGTCTGTGGACAAAACATCAGTCTTAAAAGAAAATTGCCTACAAATTGCCTTTAAGTAGGATTGCAATGAGACCTGTCTCTGTGCAGATATGTTCCAGCTTGAACGACCAAAACAGTTCAACAAGATTGACTAAATAAACCACCTCAGTTAAAACAGTTCCTCATCAGCACACTCTAACATCTCAGACTTAAAGATTCACTATGCTGTCTTTAGCCAAATAGTAGTTTGTAAGCTCATGCAAAGAATGATACTTCAGCGGGCTTCCAAGACACAGCAGCAGGTTTCCAACTGCAGCTGCCTTACAACATGTCTGTAAAATTCCCAGACAAAAGAAAACAGTCACATAAACTAGCGTGAGACAATTTTAGGATGCAATATTTTATGTTTAATACAGTAGTTAAAGTCAAGAACTAAAATAAGCTTTGAAACTATCAAAGAAAACCTCTTCCAATGGGGTGAAGAAATTGAGACACAAACAAGTTAGACAGTGCTTTGCCACAATCATCTGGAATAAAAACAGTATCAAGTTTGACTTGATCCATGAGCAAAGAATAGGACGATTTATACAGAAAACTGAAAACAAGTGGAACTAAATAGCCTGTTTAACAATCAAATATCCTTTATTTTGCACTGTTTTACACAGGGAAACTCCACTTGCAATGAACTCATTTTGAATTTATATTGACACATTCAGAGAAGGCTGTAAAAGCAACCTCAAATGGAAGACATCTTCATCCTCTTCCTTTGATATGGGCAGTTCCAACCCTGTTCCACACAGCTCCTGGATTCAAGAACTAGATAACATCCTACCTATGATCTGCTAATAAAGAGGAGTGGAAGAAAGTACTAGATGTATGAAAAAGCAAGGGAAAAGAGACCAAGAGGAGGAGGAATAGGGTTCTTTTATTACTATTCCTAGAACTCCAGGAGAAGTGTATGGAGTGCCTTTTCAGAAGGAGGGAAAAAGAATTAAAGACCTAACAAATTATGCAAGTTTATTATGACTATATTACTGAGGAGAAAGGGCTCTGAATTGCAGGGGAATAATATAAACAACTGAAAACAAACATCCCCACAGAATACCAAGTTTTCCAACTTCATTACACCTTTGGAAAAAAGGTGTAACAATTTCCCACATACCACAGAAAAGGCCAAGGGTGCTTCTATTTATAAAATTCAAAACTGATTGAGGCTAGTGCCATGCCTTTAGGAATTACTGGAAAGGTGAGTTTAGGGAAGTTCAAACTACAGATGGTGTCAATTATCAAGGTCATTCTTAGTTCTAAATTCCTTTTGAACTACAAACTATAGCTGTGCTCTGCTGAAGTTAAATTTTGATAGGTTCAATTAATCTGTTTAGGGGACAGCAGGTAGAGAAGAGGCAAACTTTCAGCCACGGGACACAGGTTTTATGTCTTAAAGGCATCTTTCTGCAGTAATATCACCAACAATGCACCGTCACCATTTGCATTTAGCCTTGTTTGAATGAATAATCTATACTTCCATTAAAATATGCAGAACCAGTGCCACTAGTGCTTTGCACAATAAATTGTTGCTTCATCAAATTTTCAACTTTTGCAAAGCTATAAGCCAATGCTTTTTCAGAGACTTACAAAACTGAAGTATGGTGACAGATCCTTTGGAGCAGGGAATATACACCATTCTAAAGCAACATCTAAACGATTTTAATATCAATCCATAATAATAATAATTCATTTCTTTGCAGCACTCCAGAAAAGTCTCCTTTAAGAAAAAAAATCCAAGAGAGTAATACAGTGTTATTTTTGTTGAAAAATGCATACTTCTAATAATTTCCAGTGATTTACAGAGGAAATCAGTAATTTTTTGCAGCTAATATAAACAGAACAGTGCTGCACTTTGTCTCAAGTCTTCAAGGTGATACTTGAGGTAAAGCATTAAAGCATTCATAAAAAAT